TTTTTATTAGTTAAAAAAGTTTCAAAAATCCAATAGATTTCGTTCCACTTCACAATTGTGTCCCACTTGTTGGTGATTCTTCACATAAAATAAAAAAATTATATCTTTATGTTTGAAGCCTGAAATGTGGCAAAAGGTTGAAAAGTTCAAGGGGGCCGAATACTTTCGCAAGGCACTGTATATTATAAGAATGGAAATGTTAATTTTAACCTGATAAAAAATGCACCTGAAATCTGACCTTTTAAATTATTATTAAACAACCTTGGGTTTGGAAAGGTGCTTTATGAATACAAATTATTATTTTTTAAAATTGCAGAGTTTGAGGAAAAAAACACGAATCAACACACCATTTCAAGTGAAGAACTGATTGGTATAAACATTAAAGTAGCACCAGTGTTGAACAAAACACAAATCTACAGTATATAACCCTAGTTGCAGAATATAAAAATCTCTTATGTGCTTTTAGTTTCTGATGACAATGTAATCTCTATCTCTTTCAATAGAAGTGTTCTCACTTATGATCAAGCATGCATTTACGGTATGCCTAAACCAACTGCCCAGCTTTTGTCTAATCATCCTATATATTGAAATCTTCAACCTGCCGCTCACTATTCCCATTATATGCATGGCACTTAACATTCTGTCTTCACAGTCCTGAAATGATATTCTTTGATTCTTGTTCTGGCACAGAGCCCAGGGCCAAGGGAGACTCATCTTTCTAAAACACCACCTTTTCTGCTAAGCTGTTGCCAAGCAAACATGTCACACAAGCAGAAAGCATAATTCTCCTCTGAAAGGAAGATGTAGAATCTTTCACTTTGATGGTCCAAATGTGACCCAGCAATCTGAGGCTCTGTGGCCTAGCTCAAGCTTCAGTTGCTCAGCCTAGGTTCAAATAAAGATTTAAGCTTTATCTTTAAAAATACAACAATTTGGGTAAAAATCAGGTAATGTTAAATGTTTAAGTTCCTATCAATGAAATAATTGCAGTTTTATTAACTACTTCTTCTACGTATTTTGCCAGGCCTGAAACATTTATACTGTACATTTATCTTTACTGCCAACCTAATAATTTCTCCTGGTATATGCAGTACAGTAATAGCAGTTCTGTGTAACCCAGGTGGCTGCTGCACTTTGTTGGTGGCTGAAATGAATCTGCTCTTATACCTAAAGCATATATAGGATCCTTTAGGATGAAAAATGCTACAGAAATGCAAGGAATTAGTTATACAACAATTTAATTTATCATCTACAGTATATCTAATTCAATAAAAATTTTATTCATAGCCCGGGCATAAGATAAGAGTAAGAAGATGGTTTGTTTCTATCACAAATCTACTGTGTTTAACTTCTAAAATATCCATAGAAGAACATGTGCTTTTTTTAAAGTCAGCTACTGAGGCAGCAAGAACAACAGGCAAAATGTTTGGTACAAAACAATCTCAACTAGACCTACTCAGGCTTTCTCTAAAGATAAAAAAAGAAAAAGGAAAAATCAAATTTTTGGAACAGTAGAACAATACTGAACTGTATGTCTTAATAGTAAACCATACCCGTAAGTGAATAAAACATATTACAACTACTGTAATATATCCAATTGTTATAAATTTTATACATAAAAGAATAGGACCTAGAGCATTCCTTATGGTTCACTAGCTATTACATTATCTACTGGCTATTAATGTTTAATGGCCACAGAATCCTTCTATAAATGTTAATATTTTCACTTAAACATTAATTCTGGTCATAAATCATTATACAGTTTTTTAGTTGCCACATTAATCATTTGTAAGAGGAATACACTCTGTTCATATTTGTTTTTATAATGGGCAAACATTTATTTCACAAATCAAAAACTTTTATGCCTATTATGCTGGTTTTGACAGCAAGTGAGTTTTTTAAAACAAATTCCATTTGTCTTTGGACATTTGCTTTCTATATTTTGCATTGCATTTGATTACCATCATGAGAACTGTTATTATCATTAAAAATAAATGCATATCTGCTATTAATTATTGCATTTAGAAAAAAGAATAGACCAATGAGGAAAATAATTCACACAATCACATAACTGTATACAAATTACATGGGAACAATAACAGACTGATAATGACCAAAAGGTATCAAATGAGCTAATTAAAATGTTTTATTATTTGCGGCCATAAAAAGTGGAAGAAAATGAAAGTGCAATTTACTGGGCTATTTGGTACATTTCAATATGTTATGTTTTGAATATGGATTATTTAATTTGCTTTACACTGTCAAAGGTGCTTAGTAATTTGAGAAAAGAAGCAACTATACTGTATGTATGTGACTGGGAAATATCAGTTGTCAGCCAAATGGCAGTAGAACTATTACCCTAGATTGAAATAACCATTTGTTGTCATTAGATGAATGGTCACATCAAAACTACTGTCAACATTCAAACAGAAAAAACAAGTAAATCTAGGTTTAGCAAATTATAGAATGAATAGTTTAATGACAAAATTAAGAAAAAAAGAATGAGGAAAGAATGAAGATAGGCTTTAACACCTTGAAAAAAAGGCCAAACATTCATAAATAAATACAGCATTTATGCTCAGTTGAAAATGACAATGTAAGTAGGGGGATTTGTTTAATTTGCTTGCTAAAGAGCTGAAAACATGAATAGGAGGAAATATATACATAGGAAACAGGGACTCTCTGCACTATTTTTTAAATTGATAATAAAACACAAAGATAAAGCTGCACAATTTTAGTTTAACCACTTTGCTAAAAAAATTACGTGTTTTTATTTTACAGCTGCTGTGATGTACCTGAACAGCATGAGTGTCAGCTGGTCTGCAAGGGTACAAATCTGTCTGTTTTTTTGTAAGCTCATTGCTATTGCAATTATCATCATACCTGGGATGATTCAACTTTTTAAAGGTACCAGTATCTTGGTGGTGGGTGCAATACCATGTGTAATGGTGGGTGCCTTTGCAAAATAATTCACATTTTGTTGGTTTTCAAGCTTGATGCCATTTTAAAATAGTAATTATTTGTTATATAAAATATACTCTACAATTCCAAAGCAAAAAAAAAGAAAGAAAGAATACGAAAGAAAAATGAAAGTTTTGATCATTTAAGTATTCCAATCTTTTGCTTTGACAAACCTGTGTTATTTTAGGATTTAGGTGTACACACTTACAGTACTTTAACAAGCCACAGAATTAAGTGAGTGACCTTTATCTGCTTCCAATATGAACAGTTCATATGATTTCAGAATAGTGTAAATACATACATCAACGTAACGGCCCTCAATCAAGTAGTGAATTTAAATCAAATATTAACTATGAAGAGCAAGGAGCTTTCAAAACAATTTAGGGAAAAGGGTTTAAAAAGGCACATGTCAGGAAACATGTCAAACATCTACAATCACAATACAGGAATCATATCAAAGATCCACAATATGTCTTTGACCACTGTGAAGTAAATTTTTCAAAAGTAGAAGTCATTTAGACACTGCCTAAATCAGGCTGTCCCTCCAAAATGAGCAAGGAGGGAAATGATTAAGAAAGATTAAAATGTCCAATGACAACTTTGAAATAAGTCAGTTGTTGTCATCGGAGAAAATGTCAAAAATATACAATATTGAATTGAAAAATAAAACATTCTAAATCCCTTATGGAGTTTGCAAGAAAAATATTTTGTGGTTAGGCAAGAAAAAATTGGAAGTTTTTGCTCTCAACACAAAGGTCTTACACTGTGTATCAGTTAATCAGCAGCAATCCTCCTATCAAACAGAGAAGGGCAGCATTGCAATAGTTCTGTTTCTCAAGAGTAGGGACTTTGAAGCAAGTCAACACAGATGGGGACATAAATGGAACGAAGCAATAGTAAATCATGCTTCAATGGGACAAAAATTAAAGCATGACATTGTCACAAAGTACAAGGCCAAAGGTGCACTGGGGTGGCTTAAGTATAAGAAACTGAATACTCATGTGTGGCTCAATCAGTCCTAATTTTCTATTGAATTCAGTGTGCAAAGTTGGTACACCTACACTAAAGGATTTGCATCAGTTATTGCAGCTGAAGGTGCTTGTATGAAATGTTGCGTTCACTCAAGTGTCTGAATACTTATGTAATCAACACCTTTCAGTTATTTTTACTTAATTCTTCCTATCATTTTTAAAATATTACATTTAAAAAATGCATATTTAACTTTGTGATTTTGCAAAGTAGAACTCCTAAGGATACAGTTTATAGAGAAACACACAATGTACAGTAAATGGAAAGTCTCAGAAAAAATAACATAGCATACTGTATTCTTCCTAAAATCCTCATTTCTTAGCAATCTTTTTCTTTTAAAATTATGTTTTCTCCTGTTCATATTCTCCCTAATACCTTTTACCATTTCCTTTGTTGAAAAATTCTATTTTCACCTGTTGGCATAGCAACAACTTTCCTGTGTGCATTAATTCATTTTTGTGCCCGGCTCCCCTTGAAAGAACTGCTGTTGTAAACATTTTATGCATGTTCAAACTAATTAGGTTATCCTGTCTTTTGGGAATTAGAAGAAGCAATGACGTTGAACATTTTTAAAAAAGTAAATAAAATTACTTTTACTACAAAAAGAGCAATGGGCTTTTACTCTAAAGGGACTATTAGCTCAGAAAAGTATTGAATCTTTTCCAAGAAAATATATGATATGCCAATTTTACTGTTGCACAAAGATGTCAGATCTTTTTGTCATATGTACAGTAACTAATTGAGAATTCTATTTAGAATAAACCACAAAAAGAAATTCAACACTCAAATCTTATGGATTTAATCAAATATTGACAATGCAAATATCAGGAAGTCATAGAAACTATGAACAGACTGAAGACTCCTAGGCTTTCCATGTGTAATCTGACATTAACAAAATTAAAATGCTACAAAGTTTGTTATCAGGTATGACCTGATGCTCATACTCCTGACATGGAACATCAACACAATCCCAGCCTGAATAAACAGTTTGGGGATTTTCTGTTGATGTACAGTAATCAGCTGGTAAAAGTTGACCCATTACAATTTCCTTTAATTGATGGCATTGGAGATTTGGTACTGTACAATACAGTTCATTGGACAGATAATGTATAAGATAAAAATTCAGTCAGAAGAAGAAAAGTTCCTTGGCAAGCCATTGACTACTGTATATACTGTACTGTATAGTGACTGTATAGTGACACTGTACAGCACTGGATTAATAAGATTGTAAATGCATTGAAGCAGTAAAATAAGTATTTTTAACAATTGTTTACAAAAGTGCTGCACCACTTATTTTAGAAGAAAATACATTTACATTTTACTGTTTTAACTGAAACTCCTCAACCTTTTGATATAGAAAAACAACAATTTCAGTAGTTGCCTCATTTGAGGGCTAAAGATTAAGTTTACCATAAGGGTCAGCATTTGGGTACTATAAAATAGGATTATGGAATAACAATAATTTGATTAGCTACATTAACATGGGAAGTAAGAGCTAATGTACCACAATGCTAATGCATTGGCAAGAAATGCTTAAGATGCCCACTGATTTATTGCTTCAATGCATCTGCAATTATGAACATTAGCAAAAAAAACGAAATCAGCATAAAGGAGCACATGGAGCCCTGTACTGGCCAGATGGAAGATCTGGTTTGGCTTGGCAGAGTGAAAAAAAAATAGGCTTGTTTGTCATCAAAGACATTCATTTAGGGAATTACTGTAAACATCATCATAGTTTCACCACTCTAGCATTTGATTGATAAATGCATCAGACAGAATAACACTCACTTCAATGTTTTCACACATCCTTCTATGTGGCTTATCAAGGGCAAAACAATATTCATTGGTGAAGAAAACACTCCACCACTCTCTGCAACCATCTCAGATGTTCTTTGACCCACGGGGGATGGGTATTTTGTCTCCTGGCTGTCCATGTCACCCTCTGAGCATGAAGATCATTGCCATACAGATGTTGAGCTAGATTTGTTCTTTTGATCTGTAGGTTATTTCTGCATCAATGTTTCATTATTGTACATGTGACTAGGTACTGTATGCATGAAAATCTGTATGCCTGGATCCTAATAGAATATTTCTAGAAACTATTTCTCCATTAAGTCTTTTCATTATAATCTAAACATTGTGTATTAAGAGAAACCATTTTGTAGAGATCATGGAAATACCAAGAATCTTGAGAAAGAATATCAGATTGTTTAATTGGAAATGGAAATCTGCTACTGTTTCTTCATCTGTCTTGGTGACCACCCAGAATCATAGTACTACTGCAGATTATTTGTGGATATGTACACATCTTTTTCAGTGTGTTTTCCACCTTCCTTGACCAGAAATTTGATGTTGACATAATGTTCAATTGTAGTGAACAATTCATTTTGTCCGTTAAAAAAATGTTTTAATTCACTATACAAGCCAGAATGATAATCCGTTGCAAAAGAACAAGCTCACAGAAAAATCTTTGTAAGAATTTACTTTAATTTGCTGCATTAACTTATTGACTCATACTCATATGAGTTACACTATAACACATACAGACAAAATGAAGCCATGAAAACAGGTTTGCTGATATAGTGGTAGTGCCTTAATTTATAAAATGTATAGTAGGATTTTCCTTTACTTAAAGCATCAGCTATGTTGAAAGTGTATTTGACATTTGTAGTAGAGTTGTTGTCAGTTAAAATTGCAACTATTCACTATGACTAGTTATTACTCTAATTCAGACCTGCAATTCACTGGAAAGTGTAATTTGAAAATACACATTCATTCAATCTGCTGTCAGAGTGAATAACTATATTTTTAACTAATGTTAAGTCTATATTATGTCAGCACTCAGTTTTCACAAGGTAGACATTCTTATACAGTACATACTATACACAGGTCTGGTTTTCTATGTAGAAAATTCATTGGCCTATAACTATACAGTACAAAACAATTCCAAAATCAATATCCCAGTCTAGTGGCAAGGGACACTGCACTGGAAGTATAACACTCAATTGAAAACGCTGGTTCCCCAACACACACTGTATGATGCAGGGAGGAATTTCATTCAGTACAATAATACCTTTGATGCAGATTAAGGGTAACTTTACTTCTCAGAGAGACATTAACAAAAGTCGTCAAGTCAACAATTTTTGTGTTGCTGCAAGCCAATTCACAGCTGCCAATTTTCCAGCGGTAGAGTTCAAGACTACACAGTTCTAGAATTACAAAGCATGACTTTGAAAAACAAGGATGAGGTCTTGCTATGGCCAGTTTTGTCTTCTGCCCTGATAAAACATCAATAGAACATCAATGGAGTCCATAATTCCTTAGTTCTGTTCTTAGTTCCCCAAAGTGGAGCTCAAATGGCCAGCAAAAATTTGGGAACTGCAATTTTCCAGTGCTGACCTGCAAACTCATGTAACTCAGAAGGTTACCTAAAAGAGGAAACCTGAAGAATATTGATTATAGATATCAGATTGATGTTTTTATATAGGATTATTCAGTGATCTGAAACATTTCAGGCATTCTCACTAAAGAGACTCAGAATAAAGTAGATGTAGGGAAAGACGCTACAGTACATTTTTTCCATATTTGTTCCAGTTTCTTAACCCACCTGGCAGAGTCTGCTGCTCTTTATTTATCTGCACCTTATTGTAAGGGCCAATTGACCTGCTTTTACTGGATTATTTGTTCTATGAATGACCTTTACTTTCTCATATAAAAATTAATATCTTTTTCTGGGTGTATTAGGTAGGGTCTGTCATGGTATTAAATGTTAGAGTTTTTATACTCTCCAACTCATTCCAATTGTACATATTAGTCTATATATCTACATACCAGTAGATACTAGTTTATTAATGATAGTTGGTGTGTTTCTTCTTTGTAGTTTAATAAGTCTTTTAAGCTCCTGCCTAATTATCAAATTGTTCACAGAAAATTAAAAAGCAACGTGACCTGCTCAGTATTCCCTGACCAGTGGGAGTGTTTTATTGTTAAATTTAATTGCAAGTTCATTGTACTGAGGTTATCAGGACTGACTAATATTTAAACTCTATTAACTCTTAACGTCCCACTAACGTTACAATTAGTCATTAAAAGAAATAATTCAATTTATAATGTATTTTTCTTTTGTCTTTCAAACATGAAATATAACTCTATTCAATATGTTCAGAATGTATTATTTACAGTATGTTATGTTTTTGGTATATTACAACTTTAATTATTTGTCTTTTTATTGTTTAATACATAATACAATTGAAATCAAAGGCTTTTTTTATTTCTTGTGTCATTAAAGGTGAAACCCAGAATTTTGAAAATGCATTTGAGGCTAAAGAGGTTCAAATAATGGGACTACCTCTTGCCTTTTACTCAGGAATGTATGCCTATTCTGGATGGTAAGCTTAAAAAATAAACTTGTTGTCATGGTAATGTGACTTAAAAAAGAAGCAAAGAAGGAAAGAAAGAAACAATTTGCAAAACAACACAGGCATCAAAAATATTTTGCCAGTTGCAAAATATCATATACGATTACAAATTCTAACTCAGTTTCTTCATATTTTTCATACAATATATTAAACAGTAATTGTTCCCAACACCCTGCTATACAGTATATGTTGCATTTACAGTGAAAGTTTGTGTTTAAAGCATTAAATGTAGTCAACAAAATATATACCTTTTGTTTATCAAAGGTTTCACTAAAAACAACAAATATTACAAACAGGACTCTATGAAAGAAAATATATTATTTGCTTTTACTTACACTGTACTTAACATTTTTTTCATAATCTTTATATGTGAACAAGATGACAGTGGTCTATTTACCTATTTCTACTTTTGTGAGACAGTAGCTTCAACAGATTTTGTTTTTTACAGCTCATCAGTACGACACAATTAGCTTTGAACAGTGAAAGGCATAAATCAATGTGTTTCTTAAATATAACACCTTTCATAGTTGTGTTTCAAGTTGTTACTTTACAGTATAGTGACTGCTTGATCTTTAAAACATAGATGTCACATATAATGTTATGGTTATACACAATAAAAGAATATTATAATATTAAACTAATTAACAGTCATATCTATACATTTATATATACAGTACTTACAGAGAAAATTAGGTAGAGGAAACAATCACAATACACATTGGTATGGACTTACTACTGCTTAAAATATGCAGAGATCACTCATGCTTATTAATGGTTGTGAATACTGTGAGGACTAACACAGGTACGGTAAGTGTTTGCGAGAGAACCATCCAACAATGCCCCAGTACTGCCAACAACTGCAATGGTCGATTGTTGAGAATATTGTTGTCAAACACAATGATAGTACAGTTATTACAATGTCAAACAATGACAATAAAGGCCAAGCCAACCCTTAAAAGAATTACTGAAGTACCCTGGATGTACAGTATTGGAAAATAAGCTGTCCATGTGTAGCTGGTTGCGTTGGAAGGAGAACTGGTCTCAAGTTGCTGTCCACATAGCATTTGGACTAACGTGTACAACAATAGGTATGGCATTTGCTACCTAATGTCCCATTTCAATTTGATGTTGGTGAGTAAGAATTGTTTGCATCATTATTATTAACAATCTTATTTACAATTGAAGTCCTGTTACTGTACCAATTCCCTCTTCTTTTGAGGGTCTTGTTTTAAATGTCTCTGTTCCCCACTCTACTATAATTACAACTGTTTATAGAACATCCAAAGCTAACAAAGCCTTTTTAGGTGAGTTTGCTGATTTACTTTCATTTTTATGCCTCAGATTTAAGAGGAGACTTATTCTTGGGGACTTTAATATACACATTGACTCAAGGTCTTCCAGTTTGGCTAAGGATTTTCTAGCTCTGTTGGGATGCTTTGATCAAGCTCAGTTCTACACGTAACAAAGGACACACCCTAGACTTAATTACTGCAAATGACTCTTTTGTTTACCACTGCTCTTACCTTGATCTAGGCGTCTCTGACAACTTACAGTAGCTTTTCTTTTCAATCATGCTTTGTAAATTTCCGCAACTGTCAATTAATTGATCAGCCTTACTGGCTGAAACGTACATTATCTGGTTTGGACAGATTACTTGTCTGAATATAAGGATATGATAGAGTCTGCTAGAACCACCTACTTCTCTCACATCATTGAAAATAACCATAACAACCCCTGGCATCTTTTCTCCACGATCAACAGACTGCTGAAGCCAAACTACCCCACCACATTTCCTCCCTCATCACAACTTTGCAACACGTTTTTAGATTTCTTTAGCTCCAATATCGACAACATCCAGCATCACATTCTCTCCACAACTCATATCATTTCCACACCTCCTCCCAGCTTGTCAAATGTTTCTGGTTCCCTTCTCTCCAACTTCTCTCTTCTTGACTCTGCATCCCTCAATGAACTAGCTTCACACATGAAATCCACCACCTCTATATTAGATCCCATTCCCACCACTTTATTTCGGTCCTGTTTCACTTCTCTCTGCCCCCTTGTCCTCAATATAATAAATGAATCTTTTAGCACTTGTGTTGTACCAATGGTCCTCAAAACTGCTGTCATTACCCCCATGACAAAAAAGCCTAACAGGGCTCTGGAGAATCTAAACAATTTTTGCCCCATCTCCAACTTACCCTTTCCTACACAAATTCTATAACGTACTGTCACATTTCAATTACATAACCACCTTATTGTAAATAACCTTTTTGAACCCCTCCAATCTGGCTTCCATCAACTTCACAGCACAGAAACTGCCCTGGTCAAAGTTACTAATGATCTTCTAATAGCTTCTGATTCTAGTTCTCTCTTTATTCTAATTCTTCTTGATCTCAGTGCTGTTTTGAAACTGTTAACCATGACATCTTTTTTTCTTGTCTTGTTTCTGACACTGCTCTCAAATGGTTCAAGTCTTACCTCACTGATCGCTATCACCTTGTCTTTCTTGGTAATGTAGGCAGATTTAGGTCTGAAATTGGGCTGGTTAAGTCTGGTGTTCCTCAGGGCTCGATGCTGGGTTCCCTACGTTTCAGCATTTACATGTACTGTACATGTTTCCACTTGGTCAACTTTTAAGATCACATGGCATCAACTATCATTTCTATGCTGATGATACTCAAATATACATCCATAGCAAACCTGACACTGATGTGCCCAATCCTGTAACCCTGTCTGTGGATGGTACTGTACTTGAGCTTCAGTCTAAATTGAAAAGCCTTGGGGTGATATTTGATTCAGGCTTAACATTTGACCCACATGTGCAGCATAGTGTTAAAAAATCTTTCTTTCATCTCAGAAATATCACTAGACTATGCCCTATGTTAACACTAACTGTGGCTGAAAAGCTGATCAACACATTTATCTTCTCCCAAATTGACTACTGTAATGCTCTACTCACTGGGATATATAAATCTACATTGAACAAACTCCAGTATGTCCAAAATTCGTTAGCCAGAATCCTGACCAGGTCTAGTGCAAGTGATCACATTACTCATATCCTGGAGTCCTTGCACTGGCTTCCTGTCAAGTTTTGTGTTGACTTCAAAATCCTCATGCTCATCTATAAGGCTCGGCATGGCTTGGCCCCTCAGTACCTGTCTGAGTTATTATCACCCTACTCCTCATCTCGCAACCTTCACTCCTCTTATTCCGATCTCCTAACTGTTCCCAAGGCCCGTCTACACTCTATGGTTGACAGGGCCTTCTCCTGTTATGCTCGGGAACTCTCTCCCCAAGGATATTGGAGTCACCTTCTCTAAACTTCTTTAAATTCAGACTTAAAACCTTCTTTAGAAGGGCCTTTAATTAACTTAAATTTTTGGGTCAACCACCAAAGGTATTAATAGTATTGTGAAGGAGCTTCTGTATTTTTACTAAGTGCTTTGAGATATGAAATGTAATTTTAGTTCTTGATTGTGAAGAAATGAGAGAGTGGCTATGTGAGGAAGCTCCTTTTGATCCAGAACTTCCTTGTCTGATCCTGTTTGGTCAGGGACACTTGTCTGATACAAACACTGGCTTCTCTGACACAGCAGCTGTTGGATTTCCCATTTCCATTCTATTACTGAGACTCCCCATCTTGTGTACTCAACCTGTACCATCTCTCCCTGCATTGCCAAACACCTAAGTGTCAGCTTAGGTGCAAACACTTCCCATCAGCCCAATTTCATCAGGCTACTGTAGCTCTGTCCCTTAGCAGTAATCCCCATTTTGCCTGGCAAGCAAACCACTGTGAAACCCACTTTTTTAGAACCTGTGATAAACTTTGCTCACCGCTCACATTCCTTCCCTACTGGCATCTAGACACAGACTAAAATCCTTTTCCTCCCAGCTGCTCTTAAAAGCCTCTTAATTAGCACAGAGGAGTTACTAATTCCAACTAGAGCCTATCCTGACAGCTCCTTTCCCTCACATGGAATCTCAATTCTTTCTGAGAGCCAAAAACTCATTCAGATCAGCTGTGATTCATTGTGCAGATTTTCCCAATTAACATGTGACCTTATTGGCTCAAAGCCACACCATTGGGCCTAAATATAGAGCCAAGATGGTCAATGTCTCACAATGTCTCTGTCATCTATTGGATATATTTATCCTGAGAATTATTTTGTATTTTGCAACTAATATATATAAAATAGTTTTCAATCCAGAATTTTTTTTCTCCAGCATGAAAATAGACGTAGATGTGCAGTACAAGTTTTACTAATTGCAGGCTGGTTTTGATGCTTTGATTGATACATTGCTATAGAATTATTTGCAGGTTATATGATGAACGTATAGTATGCAGCAGCCCTTCAAATGGACATTTTATACCAAATATACCAAATGCTATGTGGACAAGATTATGTTAATTACAAAACCAGTTCATGTATTAAGTACAGGTTAAGTCAGTATACAGACTTTTTATAAAACATAATAAAATAAGTAGTTCATATACTGTAGCTGTTTTTAAAACATGTATACAGTAGCATGTGCAAAACTGAAACAGCATTTTTTTTTCTTTCATCAAACTTCACGGTTTGCTACCTTTTAATGATATAAAATTTCTGAAGCTTTGAAAACCCAGATTTATTAAAACGTGTGGAAATTAAAAAAAATATTGTACTGTACTATATACCTATATTATTTTTTTATGTTTTATGTTTGTGCTATTACAATATTTACTTTCAAAGTCTTATTTTCATTCTGTGTCATTTTATAAAATAAAAGTTATTGTTTTTTCTAGTGTTTTGTGAAATTAAATTTGAATTTCAGAATAATATACTGTACTGTAGGAACATTACATTTTTACTGTGTTCATTTTTTTATAAAGGTAAAGAACTTAAACACATTTTTAGGTAAGGTAGTTTAAACTGCTGTTTGGACAGCTTAGCGGTTAATTTTCAACTCAGGCTATTCCTTATTTTATATATATATATTAATTCTTATATCTATGTTTCATGCAGGTTTTACCTTAATTTTGTTACAGAAGAAGTGGAAAGACCTGAAAAGTAAGATTTTTTTTTATTTAATATGTATTGAAAAGTTTAGCATCATAGCTCCAGAGCAATAAAAGCAACATCATATGTTTATATTATCTTTTTTTCATTGTACATTACAGAGCACAGAACTACAGTGACAGTTTTGTACAAGTTGAAAGTAATCTATCACTATACAATATTGATGATAGAACAATATTTGATTTTGAACATCCAGCATACATTATAAAGCAGAAGTGTGGAGGAGTAGTTTGGACTAGAAGTTTGTTCAAATCCCAGATAGGGCAATGATGTTGTTTCCTTGAACAACATTCTCAAATTGCTCCAGTAATTTGCCAGTTTGTATAAACAAATCTAAGTATAAGTCACTTTGAATAATAAAAAAAAATCATCAGCCAAATAATAATTAGGGAAACTTCCACAATGTTTCCTTAAGAGGCAAAGTAATCTACAACTCCACTATTAGGCTGGTTTCCAACCCAGGTCCTGTAGAGCCCCAATCAAGAAAATTACATAGATAACTCTTCATTAAGATTTCTAAAGATTGACCTGTAAATGATTGATGAACTAAGTAATCTGGTTAAGTAAAGGAATCCTGGTCTGTGAGGGATGAAGAGTATTTTGGTTTGATAATCTTTGATAATAATGATAATGATGACAGAATCACCATTAACCCCAAAATTGATACATTTTACTAAATCAATATCTATATACAATAACTGATCATTTTAAAGTAAGGTATGTTATAAAAAATATATTGGAATATTTTTTTCATCATTTTAATTTCTAATCCAAAGCAATTTTATTTTTATTCCAAAAATCCAGTTCAGACATTGTGGTTGTTAGTTTTCTAATAATTAAGCTGTCCTGTTCCATCAATTCCTGACTTTGGTCTGTTTTTTTCTACATACAGCAGTAGATCTAAACAAAAGCATCTAAAGAAAAAAAAAACACATTAGTCATGGTTATCAGAGATCAAACTCATCCTCTATAAGGGTTAAAAGATTAAAAGCTTATAAATATCTTTAATGAATAAATCATATGTAGAAGTTGCTATACTGTACATGAATGGAAAGACAGAATGAATGTAAAAGCGCTTTGAGTGGAGTGTCCAGAAAAGTGCTATATAAGTGTAAGCAATTATTATTATAATTATTAAATAAACGAGGTCCTTAATCTCGCTCCTTAACAGGATTTCAGTTTTCACCCATCATTACCCACTCTTTCCAAAACAATATTAAGAAGCTCAACCCTTTTCTTGTATTAAATCTATGGCACCTATGCAACTTTGACCCTCCACTCCCTTCCAACTTAACTGGAGAGTTTAGAGCACAAGGTTTTAATAAAAAAATATCAGAGAAAATTTCCCAGGAAGAATTGCACTTTCAAGTCTACACTTTCACTGCATGTGTATTCAGCATTTTTCTTGTCTGTCACACAAAGTCCAGTTTTGAGATTGTATGGTAAGTAGTTAACATCTGCGAGTTTCAATTCACACCTTTTGTAGTGTGTGAACCCACAGCCTCCATTTCAGTTTTAATAAGCACTGTCGGTGCTCCATTGTCTCAACAACTACGGTACCCATTTTAATTAGTTTAGAAGCACAAAATTCTTTCAGTCAATCTTCTTTATTGAGGATGAAGGAGATGAAGGTTCACTCTTTTGTGAATTTGATACTGTATATCTGATAGAGTGCTACAGGTAAATGCTGTTTTTGATAGACGGGTAATTATTCTCTCCTTGACCTTATTTAACATTCAAAATTATAATAAAAAGTTCTAACATAGCCTAACCCACCAGTGCTATTTCAGAAAGACATTGTAGACAAGTGACTACTCACAAGAAAATCCTACTAGATTCTATGGAAAGTGTGCGAGTTGGTCAAATCTTTTCATATTGTGACTTAAGAAGAATTTACTATGACTTAACATGCAAGGACAGAGAAAAAATCATACCAGTTCTCTAAAATATGATATGTCAGTATTTAATGAATTGTGCTGATGTCTATAAAGCTAAAGCTGGGATGGTTAATGTGCCATTTTTAATTTAAGAGAAACAATACAGTGAAATCATGGTTACATTAAACAAATTGTGGTAAGCTGTGAGAATTCAAAATAAATGCAGAATGTAATACCAAAAAATACTTACAGAAAAACAGTATACAAAACCAGAACATGAAGTGACACCAGAAAGAGAAAATAATTTGCTTTTCTGCCCTATTGAAATGTGCAGGTGTTTCGGCCCAGCAGAAGATAGTGTGCAATCCACAAAGCAGTGTTCTGTGGCAGACACTGAAGTGAAATGGGTAAAAAGTTACTGGGAGAGTCCTCTGAATAGTCTTCTCAGACACATGACCATTTTTTACCTGTGGAAAACACAAGATTATACTTTTTTTTCTAAAAAATATAATGTTTCATATAAAGGAGAACAAGTAAAAAATCAAGTAGCTACAGTGTCTGTAGGCTTATTGTGCTCAACATCTTTAGACAAAGTAAAACATGGAATCCAGAATTAGACATTCTATAATTACAGCAATAGACTAAGAAGTAGAAAAGTGGAAAACCCAGAACAAAATAGAAAGTAAATGCCTCCTGTGGAAACAGTATCAAGCTATTAAATGTGAACTTGAAACAGTGGCAGACTGAATGTGTGCATACTTTCTTATCTAGTTAGAACATCCATTTATATGTAAAACATATCTATTTTTTGTACTTTTAGTAATATACAACAGATTGGCTAGTATTTAAAGAGTGTGCAAATTCCTGTTAATGGAAGCTACTAATGTCCTATTAACGAAGGAGCCATGACATCAATGGTTGACTTTTATAAGTTTATTGCCGTGAAAGCAAATCAGGCCAAACCTGCTTTCAAGCAGGAATATATATATATAAAAATTAAATATCCTGCATAGTAAAACAGCCAGATACTCGCAGATGTAAAAGTAATAGATTTCAGCTCCTTCTTCAATCTTTCTGTCTTAATAAGTGGTAACTTGTGACATGACAGATTTGATACTTCTTCTAATCCCATTGGTTTTCAATTTAAAGTGATCTTATCTTATCATCAAAAGGTGTGCACACTTAGGCCTTTACAAAAAATCATTTTGTTGTTGTTGCTTTTGCTGTACATTCTTAAAATAAAATATAATTGATCATCATGCTGTTACAATATTTACTTATCACAGCCTAATCACTAATCACATACCAGACATATTTTTTGGATACATTTCAACCACAGTGCCTTTCCTAAATTCAGAGTATAATTATATATCTAATCTAATTACCATGGTGAATATATTTTATATGTTTAATGCTCAAGACTTCAGTAGACATTTACTATATTGTATTATTGAGTTGTTAGTTTTAGTGCTGTAATATCATATTCTTTAGCATAATAGTTTGAACATAAAACATTTTTAATTTTACATCTAAAAGTAAAACCTTTTAAAACAGGTAGCAACCCTATCACTTAGTGTTGCAAGCAAATCCATGTGTAAACACATATGTATCGATGTTAACTTCAGCATTTAAAAAGTACATTTAAAGCTGCAGATGTAGTTGACAATGTCCGCATTAATTTCCTGTCCAGTCTTACAAAATACTGCTGTATGACTCAAAACTATTTTTGGAGTAGTTACCGTTGTAATGGTGGAAGCAACAATTATATAATAACACATGATAAACCTGAAATCTGAAGTGTGTAATTCATTTATATATACTGTTTATATCCCCTAGGTATTACAGGTTTAATTACTGTTTTTTCACCATCTGTTGCCTCCACCTGTCTGGTGTCAACCTTCATTACCTGTTGTGTGAGATGCATTGCTATCTGAATATCAACAATTTGTATCCATTTAAATTTACTCTAGAATAGTGGATGTGTATGCTTCCATGAAGGTCAGATCAGTCAAGCTTAGATTTATTTACTTATCACTAGTCTGTTAAATACAACATTTCCCTCACAACATTAAGTTAGCTCTGTGCATTGAGTGTCATTAAATTGTTGTGAAATAGTTTCGTACTGACGGATAGTTAATTATCAGAAGTGTAAAAGCATTAAAATGTCATGTTTATTTTAATAATTAATTTTCACTATTTTCTGTTAATGCTTTGTCTTACTATTTGCTGTTTCAGTTCTCTTTCTTTTTCTGCTTCTGTATCTAATTTTTCATAGATTCACATTCTTTGTAAACTTTCTCTGCCACACTACCTCTTCTTACAGGTCCCTAACGATCTTTAAAATGGTTCACTCCACTTTTGGAAACTGCAAACTGGTGAGCAGTAGGTCATAACTAGTGTACCTTTGTTTCACTGAGAACATTTAACATGAAAATATTAAAATCCCCCAAATCTCAGAGATATACTTTATAATCATTTTTCTTCTTATTATTATAATTGTTATTATTATTATATATCATTTAAAGATGTCCAGTCTAGGAGACGTATGTCTCTGTTCTTTAAATCTTATTGTAGATTTAAAGCCCTTAAACTCAGAGATTAGGGCACTTACAACAGGTCAAATCTGGTGGGATCAAGATGCTCTTTGGCAAGCAACATCCATTGTTAAATACTAACATCTGAATTTAGGAAGTATAAGGAATAAAATGCTAACCTGAGGCTACTGCATTAATTGGTAGCTGTAAATATAGCAATAACTAAACAATGGCTAGAGGAGAACCACAGGGATGAATATATAATTGATGGGTATATTTGTACTGTATATTGTTTGGAAAGGTAATTGAAAAGGTAGTGGGGTAAGACTAGATACTGAATGAAAAATAACCTGCAGTCTAAGGAATCAAAGCAAAACAAAAAAATTGCAATACATATATGGTTATACTAGATAAATTAAATAATAGATAACAAATGTACAGTGCCTAATGCTGACACAGTACTGTTACTATATGTAGCAGAAGCAATATAGTATTAATGGGGGTTTCATGTTTTACTTTACTTTACTTTACTTACATATAAAGAGACAGCTAATGTGGAATTAGAAAGAGGTTATCTTGCTAAACTTAGTAGATATTTTAATAATCAACAAAGACAGTTTTTTACGTTTTATAGAAGGTTTAAATGGTTTAAATAAAACTATTGCACAATGTTTCACAAATTCCTTATCTATCTGGTTAGAAGGAAAAGTTAAATAAACCACATAACAGATTTAGATTTCCAGAAAGCCTTTGATAAATTTCTCAAATAACATGCCTTAGGAATCCTAAGACACATACTGTATAACATGGATTGAAACCTGAAAACATTGTTTCATCTTAAGGAGAATAAGCTGTAACTGGAACAGTGTACACTGTGGTGTACAACAGGTGTCTGTTTTAGGTGCATTCCTCCTTCTGATCTACATCAATGATTTAGATTGTGTTATAGCAAATTATATATATATACTGTATACAGATATAAAAAACGCAAGCAACAGAAGCAGTGTTGAGGCACTCACAAGAAGACTCATGGATTGGGCATATCAAATTTTAACATTGACAAGTACAAAGCGATCCACACAAGAAACAGGAACAAACACTATACATTACCTATCACATGGATGATTCTGAGTGACAGTGGAATAGCCTTTAGAGCATTGACCCTCATTCTCATCCCTATAATCACGTTCAGATTTCTTAGCCTGAACTCCAAGAACTCTCTCCTTCTCTCTGTCTTTTTCTCCGTTACTTTCTTGTTCTTACCTTGCCTCTGTATTTATTTATAGCTCTGGTATTGCCATGAAGTTAATTAACCTGTGTAAAACATTAGAGACACCTTTCATCTGTGTTTAGCTGCTTTATTCTCACTTACCGTACACATAGACAAACAATTTAAAATGATGCCCGTTATTTAAAGCTTTTAGCTCGATCTTGTTGAGAAAGCAAACATAAGCTAAACTTTGCTACCATACAGTAAGATTATATTGTAAATACAATAATGGAATCTTTGATTTTTTTCTACCATATGAGAGTGTTGGAAACCATTCATCATTTTACTGTCCTTATTTGAAAGAATTGCATGAATTCAGACGATCACTACATTTATTTAAAAGAACATTGTGATGTGCATGAATGAAGTGCACAATTTGCAGCCTAGATAAAAATATAATAAGTAAATGAATACATTGTTTGTCTTAAAAAGTATAAAACTCATACAGCTGAAACTCAATCTTTGAAGCTGTCTAAAAATGTGTGAAAATAATTGCTTTGTTAAGTACTTAGATATGCAGAACATAACTAATGATAAAATCTTGCACTGCACCAATATTCACCTGAACCTTACACTGATTGATCATGATTATGAAAATGATGTAGAAGCATTTGTTTGAAGTGCTGAATCTTATGATTATAAAATTCATTTTAATTAAAATGCAATATTCCAATTTTAATGTACTGCAATGAAGTGATATCTAAAAATTGCTTTCTAATTTTTTTTTCAGAATTTTACCCCTTGCCATTTGTATCTCAATGGCTATTGTCACCTTTTGCTACCTGCTAACAAATATTGCCTATTACACAGTAATGACTGCCGAGGAGCTACTTGCCTCAGAAGGTGTTGCTGTGGTAAGTAATTAAAATATTGAATTTATAATGACCAAACCATTTGTTTTTTTACACTTTTTCTGTGAAATAGTTGGACAGTTGTTACACCTATGGAACCCTCAAGCAGAGTCAAAGTCTGAAAGATACTGTATATCAATGTGCAATTTAAACATTGTAAACAAATAGCTCCTTAAAGTGAAAACATCTATTTTACTTCCCCCAGTGGTAACTGTCTTACAGACTTTGCTAATGTTTTGTCATAAGTAAAATGGTATCCTCTACTTTTAACTAGAAAGAGGAAGTGTATATACTGTATTAATACAACCACAATTATGTGCATTTTGTGCTTTAGACATAGGGCCTGTTTCACTAAAAAAGGAAAATTCACATTATCACTTGGTTAAAGGAACCCACACTGTCAACAAAAATTCAGTAGTTGCTTCCATTTACTGATGTGCTACTGATGTGCATAAGTAATGCAGAGAAATGTGTATTTTGCATGGACAGTAGTCATACTGTGTGGATAGCAAAAGTCTGGTGACAACAAAAATACCCAAGAGAAATGGAAGGAAACACACACCTACATAACCAGGAGCTGCACTGAATGCAGCCCTCGTCACTTTTAGTGAGGACAGCTGATATTACAACCTACAGTACAGTGTATTGCCCTTGTTAACAAGATTAGAGAATGCCATGCAATACCTTCATACTCAAAATACTTTGTATTGTCTGGCTTCTTTTCTTAGAAGATTTCCAAATGAAAAACCAGAGTTTACAAAAATATAGTTTATACATATTTCTATTTTTTTTCTGCATTTGTGGCCAAATGTATAGAGCCACATCAATAATCTTACTAAAGTATTACAAAGCCATAATGAAATGCCATGGTGAGCTGATTCATGTGGCAGTCTATAAATGGTTTGAATATATACAATATTTTTGTTTTACATTTATCATTTAATCTACTAAATTTCTCACAATAGTCTCTCTCCTCTTCACTCTCAAACCTTCACATACTTTTTTTCCCCTCATTCAGTAATGTCAACTGTATCTTAGTGATTTCAAGAGCTTGTTTCTACTTCATCATCATGAGTTTCCCTTGTGTGTGCAAGACTTCACTTTTTATATAATAATGAATAATAATGACAATGATTGCATACCCCAGTCCTGCCTGTTCATAGCCTTAAAGTAAAATACCATAGGTGGACTGTAACAGGAAGGGAAATAAGGCATCTAGTATAAGAATTCTATGAGAGATAATGTATAATGATATTTTGTGACAGAATCATTAAATTTTGTGCAGTTTTCATTTTTGTTAAAATTGGGTATTTCAGGAATTCAGGCCTTCAGACAAACTGAGGTGGTAAAAGTTTACATGCATTCATTTTCTAAAGCTCCTTGCAATTTTGGGGATGGGGGCGGGGGCTGATTCTATCCTGGTAAACAACAGGCACAAGGCAAGGTACACCCTGCATGGGATGCCAGTCCATTGCAGGACACACATAGACATACATATGCACACAGTCATACCAGAGCCAGTTTTCCCAGAGGCCAATCAACCTACCAGTATGTGTTTGGACTGTGGGAGAAAACACCAAGGAATCCCATGAAATCACAGGTAGAACATACAAAAATGTGCAGATAGTGCCCAGAATGTTTGAACCATATAGCAAATATTTCCAAAATTGTCACTGTCAATACAGTATATTATGATAGACAATCTATAACCTTTTATCACAAAACAAGTTGCAGAGAACTGTTACTTTCTAATATTTCTTTCAGTTATTAAAACTGGTAATACCCAGCTATTTTTTGAAAGTGTCTTTACCTGTCTTCACTGTTTATTATTATTAAAGAACATTTTCATACATGGCATATGGATAATATAATAATTTTATTTTGTGTAAATAATCATTATTTTATTAAATATTGTTTTTGCATTTTAACAGACCTTTGCAGAGATGTTGATGGGAAAGTTTTCCGTAGTGGTTCCAGTATTTGTTTCATTGTCTTGCTTTGGCTCAATGAATGGTGGGATTTTTGCAGTTTCCAGGTAGGCAGCATAAGATATTTAATTAAGTGTTATTTGCTTGTAAAATTACCTTGTATGTCCTTATACTGTTTAACATACATTAAACAGCCAAGTGGTTAAAATGTTGCAAGTACCAAAAATGTTTTGAAAAATGAAAAGCTGATGTGCAGTGCCTTGCAGACCCTTAAACATTGTTTTTATTTTTTTGTATATTTTGTTGCTTTAAAAATTGACACTTTCAAGTCAGAATTAATAATTGCTTTAATTAATATTTGTTCTATACACAACCTATTCCAGACATTCAGTGAATGTGTTCACAATTGCCTTCATAAGCCACACAATCAGTTGTGCAATAATAGTGTTTCACATGGTTTTTAAGTGAAGTAGAGAATGAGGATAAAAGGCATTTTAAAAAGCTTTCAAAACCTGAAGTAAAGTTGTTAAAGTCACAGATCATGTGAAGAGCATAACAAATTCAAAGACACTGAGTTTCCCTTTGTGTATGGTGAAGCTGAGAAGAAATAAATTGCCTTCCCCTCTAATAGCGGCCATGTCACCCTGCAATCCACATCTGTTAACCCACTGAAGCTCAGCAGGTGTGAGCCTGATCAGTACCTGGATGGGAGACCTCCTGGGAAAAACTAAGATTGCTGCTGGAAGAGGTGTTAGTGGGGCCAACAGGGGGTGCTCACCCTCTGGTCTACAGTATGGGGGTCCTAATGTCTCAGTATCATGACGGGGACACTATGCTCTAAAAAGGTGCTGTCCTTTGGATAAGACATAAAACCGAGATCCTGACTTTGTGTGGTCATTAAAAATCCCAGGGTGTTTCTTGAAAAGCGAAGTGGTGTTACCCCAGTGTCCTGTCCAAATTTCCCATTGGCCTTTACCAATCATGGCCTCCTAAAACCCCCCCGCTATGAATTGGCTTCATCACTCTGTTCTCCTCCCCACTGATAGCTGGTGTGTGGTGAGCGTTCTGGCACACTTTGGCTGCTGTCGCATCATCCAGGTGGGGCTCCACATTGGTGGTGGTGGAGGAGAGTCCCCATTACCTGTAAAATGCTTTAAGTGGAGTGCTACTTGCCTTAGCTAAAACTACTATAGTTCATGTTATTCTTATTAATGTAATGTACTGAGTTTGTTCAAACATATATTTTTTTTGTTTTTGTCTTAGATTCAATGCTTGAGTAATGAACTCAAGTAATGATCAATAAAATTCCAAATAAAAGGAAAATGTATCTTTTGCACTGTTTTGAACTTTTATACCTGTATTTTTAAACAGGCCACCATTACTCAGCTCTTTATAAACCCACCATTGATCCTTCATCTCCTATGAATTATAATTCTGTCCTCCCCTCTTCACTTCATGTCTAGGCAGTGCACTAACTGCTCTCTACATTCCTCCTGCAGCATTCACTCTTTAAAGACTGGATTTCCCTTGTTACCCTCTACTGAGACTTTCTTCCTTTCTTTTACAGATTATCTTCATCCAGCCTGTGATACAGTATATCAATTGATATCTCTATTCTCCTGTCAATACTTACTGACCTTCCTGATCTTAGAATTTGTGGTAATGCTCTCACCTATTTCTCCTTGTGAGAAGGCAATAGGTTTAGACAAGATAGAGATCCTTTTCTGAACTGAACCATATTTGCCAAAAAAACTGCTGGGAATGAATTTCTGCCCTCAGTTACCTGACCAGTTGGTAGAAGACAACCCAGGAAGGAGCATCTTACAATAGTTGGTCTTTTATCTGAATTATGGGGTCAGAGAAGCCATGTACTGTTCTCTCGCCATTTTATCTCCATCTCCCTCTGTCAAGAGTTTCAGCATTAATTTAGACTGTACCCCTTCCTATTCCCAAAATATTTCCCCACTGGTATGAAATTTCCACTTCTTCAGCAACATTCACAACCAAACCCTGCTACTATTTCAACTGGGCTATTGTGCAGTAATTTGCTCTCTGTTAGCCTTCCTGCTAAATCTACTAATCCAGTATGTATCCGGTAATGATTCTCTTCTTTATTTTTCTCAAGATGTCCTATTACTGTAGTCCCTCAACTTGCTCCCTGGTGCATCTGATCTGATTCTAATCCCTATTCTAATCCCTATTCTAATCCCTACCTACTGCTGTCTCAGCCACTCTGCTCCTACCTATTTCAGACCCTTACCTCCCACTGTCCACTCCTCTCCTCAACTTCCAAATGTTTCGCATCCAAATTCACTTTTGCATTTGTTCTCCCATGCTCATTTCCACAGAATGACTCCTCAATGAAGACAGTTACAGTATCTCACAATCTAAAAAATAACATTTTGATATCCCTAACAACCTTTTGATGCCTGGTCAAGTTCCATCTCTCTAGGCATCAACTGCGGTCTAAAATGTACATGTACAGCAAATCTAGAAATGTATATGTAAATGTATCAAATCAAGTAAGTATTACAATAGTTGGAAAAGGCAGAGATACTTCAATAAAAAAGTAGTGTACTAAAAACAACAAAAATATGCTTAATGGGAGTTCATAGATGTAAAGCTTTTTCAAGGTGTATTAACTGACCCTTATTTATATATACTACACCGTATATTTTCAATTTAGACATTATATTTTATCAAATGTTATAACAACAAACCTACAGCTATGAAACACATCAGCTACTTCAGATGGCAGTTGCATTCACCCTGGTTTTGCAGGTTACATTAATTGTAATTGGAAAAACGATTGCCACAGCACTTCACAGTTTTCTTTGTTGTAACAACCTCTGCACAACTCTTTCCCATTAGGACATTTTATGTTGCTTCTCGTGAGGGTCAGCTTCCAGAAATTCTCTCCATGATCCATATCCGCAGGCACACTCCACTCCCTGCAGTAATTGTGCTGGTAAGTTCAAAGCAAGAGGCAAATAAAGGAAGAAAATATGTTTTTTTTCCTATGACAATTTTTGTTAGTTTTTACCCCCTGGTTATTAAACCTAGAAGGGAAATATATATTTAATTAGAAAAACTGAATGAATTAGGTCATTTAACCTAATGTTTAACCTCTGTGTTTGAATATGCTGTATCCTACATTTCTTTTTTACCTGTAAGTCTAAACTAGGTCATGCACACAAAGTGTTGGGATCATTGAACTGATTTGTTTAAAAATATTTTTAAAGAAGGCTAGATTTATATTATTTTACACAAAAGTAGATGAAATAGAAAACTGTGGCTGATTAGACTATATATTCTATAGAAATATTTTTCCATCTCTCCAGCGATAAGTACTAACCTGATTTGTTTTATTCTTTCCCATGCTTGTAGTACCCACTGGCCTTACTCACATTGTTCTTAGGGGACCTCTACAGCTTACTGAATTTTATGAGCTTCGTGCGATGGCTTTTTATTGGAATTTCAGTTCTTGGACTTATTTATCTTAGACATAAGCACCCTGAAATGCAACGTACTTTTAAGGTAATGTATCTGATCAAACGTATAATTCTGCATAAATAGCTATGACACTTGAAAAGATTCAAAGCATTTGTAAATTGGAAAAGGAAATATAATTTAATGGATTGCACTACTGTTTAAAAAGGTTGTCTAATGAAATGCAACTGAGCTATATAATTTCAGAGTGTCTTTAGACAGTTTTCCATTGTGCTTTATGATTTTACAAATCATATTTGGCATTACTTAGATTGTAATATGTTAATCTGATATGAACCTGTAAAAAAATGCATTTCCTATGAATTCATTATGCGTAATCCTCAGAAATAAACATAATAGTAATGCTGGAAAACAAATTGGCTAGATTTAAATCCTGTTAATAAAACCAATGTGAGAAAAGGGTATTGCATGTGTAAAATACACAACATAACCACAACACAGAGTACAGATAAGGGGTAAAAGCTAAAATCGCAGTTATGAAATTTGTGGAGCATGTCAGGAATCTGTTAGTGAACAACTAATGCTCTTCTTTAACATGATGTCAATGATTTGGATTCTGACATACAGTAGCAAGTAAACCAGTCAGCTTCATAGATGAACACATTAAGAGGATTGCCAAATATTTTTAAAAAATCAAGATAGTGCACAACCTTGACAGATGATATGTAATGAAGATAAGTGTGGTGTTGCATCCAGGTAGCAAAAGCTTGAAGAGGGTATTTGGAGGAAAAAAAACTGCTCTTGTAGTCAATATCAGTTTCTAGACACCAGAAGAGTGGTGGAGTCAGTAAAGAAAATGGAACGTTATGATATAATCTGTCCATTTTCTAACTGATGGTTCTAATTAAGGGTCACAGGACCCTTGCCTATTGCCTATTCAGGCAAGCAACAGATGTAAGGCAGGGTACACCCTGGACAGGATGCCAGTCCATCACAGCACAGACAGACACAAACACAGACAGGATCACACTCATACTAAGGCCAGGTTTGACAATGTGTTTAGAAGAGGCCTTGAACTATTAATATTTTAGAAGTCATTTCACTGAAATGTACAGTAAGAAGCAGAAAAAAATAACCAAAGGTTAGTGTACATTTAAAAGTAGAATAACTATTTTGACATTCTTCTGATTGCCATTTTGTTTATTTATTACTGTTTATATACTCTCAAACTCATTATAATTTAAAATAATTGCATTCATTTGTAATCCTATTATATTATTGATATCTGAAATACACAAGTGTATCTTTTGACTTCTAAATCAGTACGCCATGACAGGTCTCTGAGTCTGTGTTAGGGAACCTTTTGATGGATCCCACACAATTAAAAAAGGCTGTGATATGTATATTGAGGAGGCACATTCCTTATTGATATTGGACTGTATGAAGTGTAAAAAGAGATATATTAATCTAAACATTCTGAGAGAACTAAGTCACCTCTAATTCTAAGTATACCTACTGTACGTGAACAGAGTCGTGCAAGACATCACAATAAGGTTAGAGTGTGAGTTTATTCCACGTAAGCCCGTTTTGGAGGGCAAAACAGTGATACAGAATATATCTTTCATGGTATGCTCTAACACAAGCTTTTCTGAGAGTTTTTTAAATGTTAGAATATGCTTATATACTGTTTGATTTTAAGAAGATATTCTAGGTTATAAAGAATCAGAAGAATCATTGTCTTTTTTGCAAATAAAAAGATAAGCTTCTTAAAACATTAAAAATGTTATGGAGCATTAGATATTCTACAAATTTGCCTTTATTAACTTAAGAACTCTATGAAAAATTTGTTTTCCTATAAAATTCAATTACCTTAAATCAAATACTTTTCTAGCATACTCCAACTAACCTTTTCTTATTGTTCAATATTTTTCAGGTTCCTTTGTTTATTCCTGCATTTTTTTCCATTACATGCTTCTTCATGGTCTTTCTGTCACTGTATTCTGACCCCATAAATACTGGGATTGGATTTGCTATCACACTGACTGGTATTCCTGCTTACTACCTCTTCATTGTGTTCAACAAAAGGCCAAAATGGTTTCAAAGGATTTCAGGTAAGATTACATCTACTTAGTTAGTACTACAAAATCACTACATTTTTTCAATGTAATTTTCTGAGTTGCTTTGTATTTTTTTAAAATAACATGGTCTACAATCTCCTGTTTCCCAATCAGTAATCATTTTCATGTTCTTCCCTTACAGATTCAATAACCAGGTTCTTACAGATCCTTCTAGAGGTGGTGCCACCTGAATAATCACTGAAATTATAAAATGACACACTGACAGTTAACCAGATTTGCCTTACTTAACACTAATATTTTGTTTAATACAGTAAAAATGTAACCATGCAGATATGTAAAAAAAGACTGGGGATGTATTTTTGTGAGGTATTGTTTAATATTTTCAAATTATATACTTTTAAATATATGTACTGTACATATTTTAATGATACAAGTTTTTTTTTTAATACAACGGTATCCAGATGATAAGGTAGTTTTTGAGTAAACCATGTGACAAGGGATAGGTATATTACATACTATAAATGGTGCATCTATAGTCTTTTCAAGACAGTATACTTGGTAAAGAAATCTGTTTTATGATTTCTAGGTGCATGGTACTTTTGTTTTAAATGGCTCTTGGATTACAAAATTGTAATTTCACTCTGAAGAGATATTCCCATAAAGCATTTAATATGCTCTTAGTTTTACAATTAACTGTATACAGTAGTTACACTTCTATTTAATAGGGAATATTAAATTCTATACAGTGAATAGAAACTATCTTAACAATTAAAATAACTGAAGTCCATTGCCCCAAGTAATCTACTGTATAGCTTTTTATAAAACTATCACTAATTGTTAAAACATTAAAAATGAAACAGAATGGAAATATACTGTATTTTATTGACATAAATATGAGCTTTTCACTTATAAGTACATTCAATTAACAAGAAGATAGTTACAGCAATGTATAATTGCATGCCCTACATTAAATTACTAAAAAAAAGAAAAGCATAATTTAGTTTAATATTAGTGCAATACTTGTTGTTTCTGCTTTTTGCCCGTGCAACTAAAGATGATAATATACCTGTAACAAATTTGTTCTAGCCAATGAAAGAGGTGACCTGTATCCAGCCCAAAGTATTTGCTTAATTTAATGACCATATACAGTGACTTGCAGTAGTACAGTATATAGACGCATGCACAGAGTTGCTTTTATATTTTATTGCTTTAAAACTTAGTCATGACACTTTGAAGAAGCAGTTAATATTATTTATATACTGTATATAACCTATTCCACACATCAAACCTAGAAAAAAAATAGAAAATCAATATGAAAGACAAAGTAATGAATTCTTAAGTAATCAAACTCTTTGCTGTAGCAAATAAATCTATATGCATAAAATTAGTTAAGTGAACCCTGTCTGTGTGTAATGATAACAGTTCACATGATTTAATAATAAGTACAGCTATCAATGTACAGTACTGTAAGGTACCTCAGTCAGGTAGTAAATCTGAAGGAAAATTTCAACCACAAAATCCAAGGAACTTTCAGAACAACTCAGGAATAACGTTCTATAAATCCACAGATCAGGAAAAGGGTAAAAACACATTTTAAATACTCTTAATGTCTCTTTGAGCATAGCTAACCAATAAGGAATGGAATGAATGTCCATTGGTTAGTAAAATCTCAGTAACTCCACAAATGGGGCTTGTACAGAAATGCAGAAAAATATAGCAAATCCCACATGAGTTTTGCAGCAAAACACCTATGTAATACTGTAAAAATGTGGAAAAAAGGTTTTGAGGTCAGAAAAGATTACATTGGAAGTTAAGTGTGGTCTACATGCAAACCATTACATCATTGCATTGCAAAATCAACCTAATGCATTACTCAATTAATACCATACCTACTGTCAAGCATTGTGGTGGCAGTGCCAAATAATACAGTAGCTCTACTTTTCATCAGAAGGGACTTGAAAGCTTGTCAAGAGTAACAGGAACATAGAGCTAATAACTGACAAATCTTTGAGGAAAACTTTCAGACCTAAAACTGAGACAAAAATTCACCTCTCAGCAGGACAATGTCCCAAAGCTCAAGGTCAAAGCAACATTATTATTATTTTAAAATAAAAAAGTGAATGCCCTTGAGTGTCCCAGTCAAAGACTTGAATCCTGTTGACACAGTAAATATAGAAATACTTGAAAACTGCTATACATAAGCAATTCCTAGAAAAACTTTAGAGATCTTGAGGAATTCTGTTAAGAACAATGGGAAATTATTACACAAAGCCAGTGCACAAAAGTTGGTAAAGACCCAAATCAAACCCAAAAAGACATGCAGATATAATTGCTACCAAAGTGTTAGGAATTAGTAGTGAGCACCCTAAGCAGAAAACCAGGGCGATTCCCAGAGGTGTAGTTGATAGAACAATCCGAGGTCCAAAAGCCAAAGGCAGACAAGCCGGTGCAAAAGTACAAACCAGAAGCGAAGCCATAAATCGTGAGGAAGCCGAGAGTAGAAACCAGAACGAGAATCAAAGTACCAAAACCGAAAACCAGGAGACGTAGTCGAAAAACAAACCAGGATCAGGAAGCCAAAAACCAAGTAGTAAATAATCGCGAGAATCGAAGTAGCTCTAGCCAGGAAGAACCCTAATACTGAGCACAGGGGAGAGTGTGAAGCAGCATTAAATAGGCTGGGGGTACAGTAAATGCGCTTATTGGGAACAGTGCTGGAATGCGAGGTGGAATGCAGATTCCTCCGGAGAAAAATATGATACTACTGTATATGAATCGTCCAAATAATTTTGCACGGCACTATATACTTATAGAAAAACATTTTAGTGGATATGAATTAACAAAACAAATGTTTGTAATGTACTTTTGAGTGTGTTGTCGATTTGGACTGGTCATCCTGAAAGACCAATGCACCTGCATTGAGTGAGGGGCATTTAAACCCCACTGAAAACAAATATGTAAAGAAACCTTTTTTGAAGGCAGTGTTTGTTTTGAGTTTTAAACGTATTTGTAAAAAAGTGTTTTAAATCAAGGTTCACATTTTGATATTCTTAAAAAAACTGCATGTTTAAGGCTTGGTGTGGACATGAGCGTTAACAACTGAAAGCGTTAACAAGCATTAACAACTGTCACGCAACTATGCACGTATGAGAAATATCATGAAACATTGAAAAAAAACTAAAACAATTGTTCAAGGTAATGCTGTAAATGGGATTGACAACAATAAAAGTCAAGGATATCACATATTCCATTAACACAATTTGCCTATAAAAATAATAGAATTGAATGCTCTCCTTTTACCTCTTACCATTAGTAGTGGGTCAGAGAAAAGTGCATAAATGTTAATTAGTACTGTATGTGATCACCAAGTGATGGGAGCACAAGCCATATAATTAACAAGGCAGTCATGAAATCAAGGAGCTCAAGGAGCAAATGGAACGGCTCAAGCAGGGTGCTTAAGACTTGACATATCACCCAAGTGTAATTGGGATGAGATGTGGTGCTTTCAAAATCCACTACATTTTTTGTTGCTTTTTTTTTTTAATCCATGGAAAGTGTTACCCAGAACTGGCCATTAAAACAGTCTAACCAAAAACTCCTGGTCAAGGCCTGTCCCAAAAATTACTCCTTGGGTTAGATATGTTCTGCTGTCTCTTTTAAAAGACATCATCCACTATGATTCCCTCTTATGACATTTAGATTCTAACATTTTACCTGTTTCTTTCAAGGACTTGATGTTAACATTGCAATAGCTATCTGTTTACATATTTGTAGTAAATGAGTTTCAGGGAGGTCTGCACACAGCTCTGTACTGATCACCAGATGATTCAGTGCCATCACAATTATTACTTACAGTACTAAGCGCTTTGAGAAGCCACCTTCAAAGGTGCTATATAAAATAAAGTTTATTATTTTTACTTGTTGCTGGAATTGACCATGGACAAGCTTGTAGCCAGTATCTACTGTATGAACTCCAAAACTGCTTATACCAAGCAGTTGATGATTAGTCTCTCTCAAATCCATCGATTTTAAAATTCCCAGAATCATAAAAAAACTTTTTACCATATTAGAAGTCACGTTTTCACAAAATGTTTTACTTGAAATAAGAGTTTTGTCATTTGAAGTGGAAGTTCCTGAAATTTGTCATATTGTGTTATAGAATTCATACTTTTTTTCATCCAAATGTATTTTTTACTGTATTTTAATGTATTGTTTTCAATAGCCATATATTCAGTTCATTAAAAAATAAGAAACTGACTGAAATAAATAGACTGAAAAGAAAAATAAGAACATTCTGATCCTGAATGTCTTCAGGATGAGAGCTGACAATTACTGAATAAGATTATGTTGCATGAAAGGTTTGTTCATACAGATTTGTGAACTGATGTATGGGTGCTCTGAGTTTTAATTTTATATATCTGCAAAAGTAGTACAATACAGTACATAGCACTTCTACAATAATAGTTGTAGAAAACATGAGGCCAAGTTACGTATTGAGCATTGGGGTACCACAGTCAGGATTATAGACTGATGGAATAGAGAATGAAACTAATAATACAAATTATAAAAAAGCATGAAAACCTATTGGGTTAGGTAACAACTTTCACCGACTTTCTAGTCATTAATGGCCAAATGATGAAACTTCAATGAGATTTTGGATCAAGTGGGATTCTGACTGACAGTCTTACAAATAAATATTAGGATGTCAAATCCCTAAAAAGTACATAAATACGACTTTTGCTTGTAACAAAACATAATTTCTTTAATGCTATGAAATAAGACATATAAGAATGTGTTCAAATCATATTCACCATTCTCTGTTGTCAAGTTGTTTATTATTTTTGTATTGATTAAAAAAACATTATAAGTGTTTTCAAGCAGAAAGATAGATTCAAATAAATGCAGTTTTTGGTTGGAAATTAAATCCAGGTTTAAGTTTGAAAATTTCATCCAGAAAGGAAAATGTAAGGTATGTACCTGATTATCTGGTGCAAACATGAAGCACTCTGTTAAAACTGATATTTTAAAAAGAACAATCCTTGCACTCTGGCTTGCTGTCTTCATTGAGGTATATCTACATAGTGTTTAGCCAGAAATATGAAAAATATTTGATCAGTCAGCATCTAATATATGAGTCAGCATTTTATCTGGAATGGATTTCTCAGAATCTAAAAGTGCAACACCCATATAAAAACATTTTAAATTGCTCAATTATCTGACTTTGAATTGCAAATATACAGTACATGTCTTACTGGCATTAAACTGGCCTGTTAACATTAATGCAAAATGTTGATAAACAATCTTATCTGTTTTGATGATTTAATTATTCTGGTAACATTAGTCATAGCATTTACTGTATACTGTAGCATGTGATATGGTTAAAAACTGATTACATAATCACCCAGTGTGTGGCCAAGACAGCTGTTACTTCTTTTTCAGTCAATCACCATATCTGCATATCAAGTAAACGAGCACTTGGGTTCATACGCATGATCATAATCTTTAGCTGCACAACTGTTTATCTGGGGATAGCCTTTGACAAAACTGGGGATAGCTTTTGACAAAACCACAAGTGTTAGGAAACAAATACAGCATAAAAACAAATACAATATATTATTTGTAGTTAGTTTGGACGTGTGCTAAAAATACTGTTATGATAATAGAAGGATAAATAGTTTGTATGTTTTGTGTTTAATGCTGATACCTAACTAGAGTCAAAATAAGAATCACCTAGTCTGGCTTGTTCATTTTTCAGGTAAAATCCCACTTTCCACCCAGAAACATGGAAATGTAGAGAAAGAGATTAAGCCAAATAAACATTTTTGTGCAGTTTTTTTTGTAAAACAGTCTTGGAAAATGTAATTATACACTGTAAACATTTTCCTTAATCTCAGAAAGCAATCCAAAATTACCAGGGTAGAGGGCATTTTACACAATGTTTAAAGGAAGGTGTTAAGCAGATACAGAGTGTCTGTTTCCTGTTTGTTGAATAATTTGTGTTTTACTTCTCTTATCCACTGTAAGAATAAGCTCTTCATACCTCTGCATTCCTCATCTATACTACACACTGTCAGCAAGCCAGCTTGTCTTTTGACATTTTAAGTGGCCTGTCTCCAGTCTGCTATACCCCCTCTGGGATCATAACTCTCTCATTTTGTTATCGTTTCAGAAAAGTCTCAGACTCCTCCATCTGCAGGTGTTTCCAAGGCTCTTCTATCAGACACACAGATCTCTTGATGCTTGTCAGACTCTTCAAACTCAGACATTGGAATATTCATATACAATCCAGTTCACTGCAGGGCACCTAGCTCTCTCTCTCAATTCATACATCTTCACTCTTTCACATTCTCTCTTCATTTTCTTCATTTCCCTTATCGTGACTAGAGAAGCATCTCTATAACAAACACGTGTGTCCTTGACCTGTATTCTTATTTTCTCTAACAGACTTCCCTCCTGTCTGCAGCTTTTAAGACACAGAGACTTGAGATTTGAAACCCAATCTCCCACCTGTAGGGAGAAGGTGCTATCTTGCCAGGAGATACCCTACTCTTTGAGGTGCTAACACCTCCATACAACTCTCATTCAGCATCCTAACCTTGTTCACCATTGAGCCATATGCGTGAGCTACCATGCATGTCTGTCCAGAAACTGTATCCAGAAACCCTTTTAAGCTACAGTATATTTCCCAAAATGTTACCTCATCTTTCATTCTCTCTCCTTCTCTGTTGGAGCCTAGATATGCAGACTTTCTTCCCAACTTTTTTTATAAACTTCTTAATTAACCCTTTAGAAGCAGCAGATTCCACACAGAATCACCAATGATGACAGCTCTTTTCCCTTATGTGCAATCCCTCTACTACTGAGTGCCAAAGACTCACTCGGACCAGCTGTGCTTCATTTTCCAGCTTTTCTAAATTAATAGGCAGCCATTATAGCTCAAGGCCATGCCATTGGGCCTGGGCTATAAGCCAAGATGGTGGCTTCCTAACAGAGCCAACTCTCCCTACAATACATTCACATTTTGTTTCAAACCTGATAGGTGAATAGAATTATGTTTTTGACAAATTCATGTTTCAACTCACTAAATGAAAAAAAGATGATTAATAAAATCACCCAGCTCATATCACCATAACTAAGAACCAGTAGTAGTTTAACATTTTTATAAGTCTGTGACAGAGACATTCCTACTACAATTCCCATCCAATCTGGAATGGGTAATGTCATATGTTATGAAATATTTATCATCTCAAAATTACTAACCAACATACTGTATCTGTATATGTTTGTATCCAGTATAGATTAAAAATAAAGAACATTTTATGTAAACAGTCATACAATATAACAGCTTTATTAAGCACAGGATACAAAAGCATACAGTTAAGATATGTGGTGCTGGTGAAAATATGTTAAAGAAAAGATGTACCTGCTTTGACAAATACATTATTATATTAAACAACAATATAGTAGGTGACTGTTACTCAGCCCATCCTGTTGGTTAATTTAATAAAGAATAAGAAAAGTCATTCACCAATGTATTCCAAAGACCAACCAATTTTGTTTCTTTAAAATGTTTTCTAAGTCCCAAATGCACTTCCTATTAATTGTGTCATTGGGAATTCTAATTTCTGTTTTCATCAACTTTTATACTGGATATTTGATGTACATTACATGGCCTACCCTGTGTGGTAGAGGTAATGTTGAAATATGGCAACATTAGGGTTAAGTTAAAAGCTCAAGAGCAACAGTTTCTAGCCATTGTTAAAGGAAAGAAAAACATGTCTGCTCATATGAATAGACAGATAAAAGGATGAAAGTGCAGTTTGTCATTCATGAAATACAATTGGCCCCATTAGTGATAGTTCGAAGGAAATCAAATCACCATAGGTCTGCATTTCCCAGGGTGATGGATGAGTTCACAAGAAGTTGTAAGATTACTTTTAATGTGTGCTCCAGGCATACAAAGCCAACAAAACAAACACTTTGTGCTTTGAAAAACAATTGTAAACTGAGGCCAGACAATCAGCTGCATATTCGCCGAAAATATGTATAGTCTCTAGAGTTTGGTACATAATGGAGGAGAAGGAAACTGCTATCCATTCTTAGCCAAGAACAAAATTAGTCTTTGACTGCAAGGGGAAACAATCTGCCTTCCAAGATTTCTTCTGCATTGTTAAAACTGTTTTTCAGTGCTCTCAGACAAAAATCGCAAGGAACCATCAAACACAGGAATTACAATTAAATAATTCATGTTCTCTGTCAGATTGTGGAGTAATGGGCACAATTCAGGGTTTTCTCTGGTTACAAATGGTATCTTTTTAGGAGTTATAGATTCTTCACTAGACTTGAAAAAGAACAAATGCATATCTACCCTATTATTCATTTGTTAAATACATACTGTATAACATCTTTATGGATAGCTTCAGTTCACATTAGCTGCGTGCTAAGCCAAGGCATAATGCCAGAAATTGAACTCATTGAACATATGTAAAAAACATATACTGAGCAATTGGAAAGTATTCCAGTTAACTGGCTTCTCACGATCCTATCATGCACATTCAGTGCCAAGACTGGAATGGCTTCTACAGATCCAGGATCTTGTCCAAAAAAATGTGCTAGTAAATTGTTTCCTTTTTAGTCCATTGCATTGCAAAGACCCTGTTATAAAAGGGTTGTCTGGCTCCAGTATATACAAGCAATGTTATTTTTTTTCAAAAATTACATTTCTCTGCAATTAGGTTGTTGAGAAAATGAGAAGATGTGAGTGATGAATAACTGTCATACAAAACTAACACACAGTGTTTTACACATCTGTTATTTGAAAAGTGTATAAAGATTTGTCCATGACTGTAATTACATTTTTGATTCTGTAGAACTTGTTAACTTAAGCAATGCTCCTGTGGTTTATAATGCCACAGGAAGTTTTTTTTTGTAATTTGGTGCTGATAATGCATTACTTTATGCTTGTGTTTGGCTTGGGGTTGTGTTCTTGCTTTTTTAGCACTGCTGTTATACAGTACATAGCCATTCATCAAAACAACAACCGTGACTGATGCAGGTGCGCTTTCTTAAAGAGAAGGCTAGTTGCTACTGATTGGGCAGCATTTTTCACTGTCCACTAATTGCTGATTATACTCTGAAAAGCAACATACCTCAGCTCTGTGCAGAAACTGTTCTAATTGCTACATTTGGATGGGTCATAATTTAAAACACACAGATGTGAGATTCATTGGCATGCTCCTGTTCTTCACAGACTGTTATCAAAACTGACCCCTACAGCTTTGTTTTTAATATAAGACCCATGGACTTTTCAATTACATTTCAGTGAAAAGAGGAGACCTTGGGTCATCTACTTGAACTTTCAGAAATGCTGCACTTTTCAATTGTTCCAGTGTAGTGCATCAGACAGTAACATTAGTTACGTAAAGTTTGTTGTACTGAACACTGCACTTAAAGACATCTGTGCCACATCTCCAGTGTATCCTAATGAAATAGTATGTTTTTAATTTCTACCTGCAGATTTTTTTATGACTTTTAATAAATATGTATAAAATTGAAGATACATCTAGTAAGTGGTGATCTGTCTTATTCTTATGAACTTGTCCAAAATATATACGTTTAGTGAACATTAAATAAAAAGAGTATCTTAGAATTATTCAGCCTTTTGAGTCATTAGCCTGGAAAGGCTTTATTAGCCTGTTGAGTTACATTATTAAGCAAATGTATGTTTTTTAAGTATCAAAATTGTACTTTTATCATCTGCACAGTTTTGTCTCATTCGAGCCTGGAGGGTTTATCTTCCTTTTTATCGTAACAAGAATAAAGCTTCTAGGAACACTGGCCCTGGTATGAGTCAGTGCCTGTCTGTTTGTGTGTGTGCCCTGTGATTGACTGGTGTCCTGTACAGAGTGCACGCTGCGTAGTGTCTTACTTGCTGCTTGCTGAGATACTGTAGGCTTCGGCTCCCCCACAACCCTGTATTGAATAAAGCACTCCAATACATTTATAACTTGTGCACTATTATATACTATTTTGAGTTTAATGAAATGCTAATAAATACAATTATGTTATTTCTTATTATAATAAATCCAGGGTGTACCCTGTCTTGCACTCATTGCCTGCTGAGTAGGTATTTTGGATTCTATATTTAATAGAATATTAAAGATAAGATATGATTGAAACATAAAGTATCTGTATATGCCAATAATCTTATTTTGATAGCTATAGCTGTACTGTTGTTTATGACTTCAGGAGAGACTTCTGGAGTACACATTGCGTTACCTGAATAAAGGTCACAGAGTTTTATTAAAAGAAAAGTTCCTGTTGAGTAATGAATATTCATGAAGAGCCATACATTATGGTTAATGAAGATGCTCAAAGTGTCATTACTAAAAAAAATGCTGGATATGCCTAATGTACAAAATGCTGCAAGTCTATTCATTTATCAGGTTCAGTGGTGTTAATCAGTTTTAGGTCCCTTCATTTTGCAAATCGGGCCCATTGTTATCTCAGCTACTCTATGTGCTGCATACTAATGACAGTTTCTAATAGAATGTGCTTGAAGTGATTCACACCACATTGCCAAATTTTCTTTTGCATAAACCTCAGCATCAGTCATCTTAATTTTGGTAGTGATGTTTTCAATTTCTGCACTCTCTCAACAGAAAATTGGTATAAGCAATCAAACCAACATGTATTTAATTTGTACTGTACAATACCAAACTTTATCAATAGCCATAAGCTTAATAAAAAATAAAGAACTGAGTTCAGGTAGGTTACAGCATACTGTATGGTACAAAATGTTACATACTGTATGAGTATGGGCCAGTTTTACCCTCTTGCTACTCACATGCTCCTCACAGTTAAATTCAGAAGAAATCCATTTGTCATGCGAATTAAAAGCGTAAACATCACCTGGATATTCCAAATAATAATTTTTGTCCTTCTATCATTCACATTATGAGAACCATAAAGTTTCCACTTACTACATTACTTTGCAGTGTGTGTTATTTGTGAGGAACATTTCTTTTCACCATAGTCCAAATCCAAGTGCTCCTACCACTTCTTCACAAAGTAAGATCTTGCTTCACAAGGTAAGAGATGCTTCCAAATGAAATTATGGCTGGATGGTGAATAAGACATTTCTCACCATTATTTGGGCCTCATTGTCATCACTAATGTTTTTATCTTAGTGTGGCTTCCTTATTGGGGCAAACACAGAAAAGGTCAGTGATGAGATATCTGTATTGTAAGTCAGGGAAAGCCTCCAAAAGCTTCTCAATGCATTGTACTGTTGCCAAAAACCTTGTGTTGGAGAAGGGCAGAATAACTTAGATTGCCATACAGTACCTTTGTTGCTCTGTATCTAACCACATACTCTGTAAATGTAAGGATTTTTATGTTATAATTAAATCAAAGTCAAAATTCCATAAGACATTTATACTGTAAATATTTCAAATGCTTTTGTCCTCAACAAGCAACAGTAGCCAGATTCTAGATTAGTTTGACAGTACCCAATTTTTTTTTTTGTGTATGTAATCAAAATAATTGTAAGCACCTAACACACTTAACACACTGGCACACACTGTGAGCACATGAGAAAGAAGTAATGTTGGTTGGAGGTTGGACTAAGTCAGGACAATTTATCTCGCTGTCTGCAATTCTCTGGGTCAGCAATTTCTTACCTGGCAAGATATTATAACCAAACATGTCAGTCAGTGATAAAGACCACAATCCATGATGCCTTGCCACAATATGGGGATGGCCTAGTGTGATGTTGAAGATGGGAGAGTCAAGAAGCTATAAAACACCACAAAAAATTAGTGATTAATAGCAACATGCCTGCAAAGCGGTGATATTTTTTTTGGACCTACCTAATTTCTAATCTGTCTACTTTCTAACAAGACTATGTACAGTATGTCCTTAAGTACGTTGCTCATAAAACAATACCTTTCTTGCAATATAGGAATGTAACATTTTTTGCAGTTGGATACTCTACACATGAGTCCCATGAACATGTATGGTCTGGGATAACGTATGGTATCTACAGCTCATAGACCAAAAAATACTTGTCTATGCTTGTCCAGGTTTTTTGAAAGAAAGGGGATAGAGTTCAACAAGACACTACCTGAAAACTGGAACGATGCATGTGTCTTGGATGTAACACGTATATTGCTTCCAACAGTGACCACACATTTTACTAGCCTATGTCTTTCACAGTAAACCCTGTTGATGACAAATGGTAATCTACATAACGACTTTACATGTGTCCTATCGTGGCATGTCTGTTTAATGTAATGTATATGCACCTGCTATAAAACTGCTTGCTTACTGAAGCATCAGAAACTGGGAAACTCACAAAAGCACATTATAAGATTTGTTTTTATAAATAACAAATGACAGGCTGTTATGTAGGTTTTTTGGCATTTAAAAAAGCAGTAAAAATGATTTAGTTGAACCGTCTGACCTTGCCATAAAAATCATCATCATACACTACACTGTACCCCTTTCAACTGTGTAATGCTGGATGCTTTTGAAAGCTCACAGTTGGTAAAGTGTTTGAGGTTGACGTGAAGAGGTTTCTGACACTCAGCTTCTTGTCTCATAAACTAAATGGGGACATCCCTTTCTTTTAACAGGAACCACAGGTTATTCAATTATCGACTCAAAGTTTACAGTACTGTATCTTATTAAGACCTGCTTAGTAGGTATATTAGCATAATTACCAGATAATAACTGTCAGATAAAGGAGTGAAAGAGAAAAACACTTCACCACCAGACAGGCTGTCTCCCAAACTAAAATGTCTTGTAATCTTGTTTTAACTTACCTTTGTTAGTAGAAAATTCAATTATATTCCTGTCAAAAAAAAGATATCTACAGTACAATACTGTGGAAATTAAACCCCTTAATAGACTTATCTCTATATTTTTGGTGGTCTGCTGGTGTACAACAGGTAACCAAAGAGGGCTAATGTTTGTACAAAGAATTGGACCAGAGCAGTGCATGATATGTTATGGAATTTAAGACCAGATTTAATACCAAGATACCTATGAACAACTAAAAAAAAAAAAATCAATCTAAATGTGTAGTATGACAAACCCTAAAGAGTAGTTTCTCTGATAAATTCACCTCTATATTCCAATCAAGATTCCATAGGTTCAGTTTGTACCCTGTCCAGTATATATTGATATTCTTTCAACATCAGCACACAGAAATCAAATTAATGTAATGTATGCTGTACCGCTGAAGAAAACCCTCCCCACAGATAAGACTTGAGTGAGCTACTGTATGTGCTCAGTCTCTGTCAATAAAAAAAATATCATTTTTAAATTTGAAAATAACTCGGCAACAACATATTTTTACTCTCCTTCACCGTATTCAGGATAATACTGGATTAAATATCTTGTTTTCATTTGTTCAGTTATGATTCTGCTGATTATACTGTAAAATTCCTGAGGGTCAAGAACCTTGCAGATTCTTCTGAATAATTAGTTCTTTATTCTAACACTAGAGGGAGCCATAATGCAAATCAACTATTGAAATGGAGATGAAGATTAATTTAAATACTCAGAGATGTGACATTTTATTTTATTTTTATTTTTAACGAAAAATGTTGTAAGCTTCTAATAATTTGAAAGAACACTAAAAGAAAGAAAAAAACTTCAGCAGTTCAGTTCTTATTAAACAATTTAAGAAGAGTTATTAGAAGGGAAAATATATAAATTATTATAGGGGGATAAAGCAATAAGCTAAAAAGGTTGTGGGTGTTAATTAAGTGCAAAAATGGATTGTGAAGCCTACTGGCTTTGCCCATGCCTTAAGGTTGTTCTAAATAAAAGTCTCTTCTCATTATCTTTCTTGCTTGTTTGCAGCCCATCTGCTTAATGTTTTTTTGACGTTTTATCTCAATTTAATGTGCTGAGATAATCATCCTATTGTAATCGATCTGTATTTAAAAGTCAGAAGAATATGTTAGCTATAATCATCTGACAGGCTTCAATTTAACAACTTTTTTGTTGCTTATTTTTATAATCAAAGATTTTACAAAATAACTGCAATTAACTCCAAAGGCACAACACCATATGCAATACTATGACCCTTTCCAATTAAGGCACCATGAATGAATGTTTCAGCAAGAAAGCATTAGACTTTGTGAATGGAATAACATAAAAATCAGATCAGTAAAGGCCACAGATACAGAAAGGATGAATAATAGTAACACCTGAAAACAAAACAGTGCCAGGTATAATGTTTGAAGTTAAGACCTGTCAAGTTTATAATAGTAATAATAATTATTGCTTACACTTATATAGCGCTTTTCTGGACACTCCACTCAAAGCGCTTTACAGGTAATGGGGACTCCCCTCCACCACCACCAATGTGCAGCATCCACCTGGATGATGCGACGGCAGCCATAGTGCGCCAGAACGCTCACCACACATCAGCTATCAGTGGGGAGGAGAGCAGAGTAATTTAGCCAATTCATAGAGGGGGATTATTAGGAGGCCATGATTGGTAAGGGCCAATTGGAAATTTGGCCAGGACACCGGGGTTACACCCCTACTCTTTTCGAGAAGCGCCCTGGGATTTTTAATGACCACAGAGAGTCAGGACCTCGGTTTTACGTCTCATCCGAAGGACGGCGCTTGTTTACAGTATAGTGTCCCCATCACTATACTGGGGCATTAGGACCCACATGGACCACAGGGTGAGCGCCCCCTGCTGGCCCCACTAACACCTCTTCCAGCAGCAACCTTAGTTTTTCCCAGGAGGTCTCCCATCCAGGTACTGACCAGGCTCACACCTGCTTAGCTTCAGTGGGCTGCAGGGTGATATGGCTGCAAGTTTGAAAATGAATCACCTACAGTATCACCCATGAAATTCATATTACATTTAATCCAACAAGGCAATCTTGGAAAAGTCATGAATTTGATTCTTATTTAGAAAGCAAGATGTAAAAATTAAGCAGTTTTGCTTAAACCCAGTCATAATT